AAGGACAGTTCTGTGCAGCGTCAGACATGTCAAGGTAGCCAATCCTCGTCCATCCTCCAGTAGCATTGCAGAGTGTGTCCATATTACAGTAAATGGTACGACTGTTGACATGATAGTAACCAGTAGGACTGTTAGGTTGTACTGCCTTGATATCCGAACATGAGACAGGACGTATAGAGTTAAATATAGAAGATGCATTCTGTAGCTCCAGTAGTTCTTCAGCTATTACTAGTATATCATTTACTACTGAGGCTGTTGCAACTCCATTGCTTTCTATGTTGCTGAGAGAACCAACAATTGATGTCAACTTGTTTGCAGAATCCCCAGTTTTCTGTAGAACCATTTGAAGAGTATTGGAAATATTCTGAGTATCAATGACCTGCTGGTCAGCAAAATCTTGAATCATATCAACTTTTGCAGAAGAATTGGACACTTTACTCATAACCTCTCTTATCTGGTCATTTAAGGTTTGTGTAGCATTCATTAAAGAGTTTAGGGCATTGGATTGGCTCTGAGTGTTGATCCAGTCATTAGTTGTGTAGTTTGTGATGCTGTTTAGTTTACGAGAATTTTCACGAGTCGCATTGAGGATCTGCCCAATCTGTGAAGTGCTGTCACTCCCAGTCACACCTCCAGTACTATCACACATATCTACTGTATTCAAGTGTGTTAGTGTAACACCATTGATACCCAGTAGTATTATAAGGATAAGGATTATGAAGGCTTGAACTCCAAGGAGAACAAAGAGAGTTTTCTTTCCTGTAGAAGATATAGTATCATGTATCTGTAGACTGCCTATTGGTCGTTGAGGGAAGTCATCCTTTCCATCATATTCTTGCTCAATCTCATAAAGGTTCTTGTTATCATCAACCTCCATTAATAGACTGTATAGTTCCTGATCTCAAGTGCAGTAGCTTCTTCTTTGGTTATTTCTTGTTTTTCTTAATTGGGTGGATTAAGTCTAAACTATTCTCAGGGCATGAATAATGTTGTAAATTATTTTTCGATACTTATTGACTATTAGCACAGCAGCATGCAGTTCTCATTCAGGACTCAATGCATGCACATTAGATCACAGCTATATCCCTAAGCTAATAATATTCCATAAGTCTTCATGCATTAGCATTAGTATACAGTTTTCCATCCTGTGCTATATTCAATTTTAGAAATTTTATAAAAAAGTAAAAGATTGCAGCAGTAATTAGCAATAAGGATAATGTGCTTATGGTGTGTGCATTAAAATCAACGGGATGATAAATGGGATTGACTGTTCAAGCATGTTAAAGTGTTTCAGGGACACTATAT